CCTGAAATGTGGTTAAGCGTGAAGAGGAGGATCCAATCAAAATCACAAGAAAATCGATTTTCCACGCTTGGAGTACCTCAACTGCTTTCTCGAGTGAATAAAGGTTGAAAACTGGTCAATGGTAAGATAAAGACATGGTAGTGCGAAAGCTAATCACTGGAGTTAAAGATGGCCAGACGCTATGAATCAGGACGAGCTAAGTATGCGAACTATGTGCTGAGTTAGTCTCATCAGTGCTGGTAAAATAAAATCTGTGTCAAAAGTTTTTCAAAGCCAGTTTAAATTCTGACATGTGAGCTATCATTATCAGTTTAATTCCCATCATGCTCTTGATTAAACGTGGCTGTGTTGATTTTGTTCCTAGTTACTTTGGTTCTAATGGCTTGATGAAAAGTGTGTTGTAGTGTTTCAGGGATGATTCGGGTCTTTTTTTTACTTATTCGAATTAAGTAAGTTTGAGTGATGATCTTTATTGGGCCTTGTGTTTAAAATAAAATGAGAGGTTGAGCTTGCAAATTTCGGTGGGCTTCGAAAGAAAAAGGGAGAATATGGGCTTCAAGGCTTCATTTGGGCTTTATATAAAAATGAAGGGTTGGCCCATAATAAAAAAAGGGGATCGGTTCTCATGTTTTTAGTAGCCGTAAACAACAAAAGGGGAAGCCAAAAGTCTTCTTCCTCATTGTCTAACCCTAAAGACAAAAAAAACAGAGAGGAATTCAACTGCTGATACAATGGTGGAAGGAACTCGTCGAGGTGCGATAAAGAAGAAGGGATCACAGAAGGAACATGCGACCAGTGATGCTAATCGTCCTCGTCTGAGTGACGAATCGATCGACGGAGATGAGATGGCTAACCCCAAAGCTACGGACCTCAAGCTCTAGCAAGGTGTTGAAGCCGGCGACGGTGATGCTTCTGTCAATGTCGGTAAGTAGCGACCGCGGTTGGTGACGAAACAGCCTCCATGGTTTCCGGTGGAGAATCGACAGAAAAATTGAAAGCTGTAAAGATGGAGCGGGTCTCAGGCAAAGGTAAAGGGAAACAGATTCAAGAGGAAGAATCCAAAACTGAGGTTGAATTAGACAATGGTGGATCTGAATCTGAGGCTGCATCAGATGAATTGGAACCTCAGGGGCAGCAGAGGAAGCAGAAGCAAGAGGGAAGCTCATCAAA